ATGTTGTGGAGCTTTGAAACAAACCCATATATCGGATATGGAAGTGGACTGCGGTATCCTACCCCTTGACCTACAGAGACGGAAGATCCAACTCAAATTTATAGCAAGATCATCCCGTTCATTTCATTCAAAAGAATTGGCAAGATTATTACGGAACCTTTCACCAAAATAACTCACCAATGTCGATAAAAACTGAAGACTTTTTCTCGTCCGTGAACCTTCAAAATTTTGCAAAATACAAATATTTTCACTTTCCTCGTTGGGAGATTCCAACCCCTGATGTCGACGTCAGTCTTCATTATGCTGGTATAAAACGGGAGCAAAGTTATTTGCTTTTGTCCTTAGCCAAGGAGAAACTAGCTAGTTTCTCAGACTATACTAGTATCTTTACGGATGGCTCCAAGTCTACCAGTTTTACTTATATAAACAATCTCAACATCAGAAAATCATTTAAAACTGCACCTACTTCTGTATATAAGGCTGAACTGTTTGCTATCTTACAAGCCCTTCTGTGGCTGGAAGATTCCGAGGTTACGAAGGCTCTGATAGTCAGTGATTCTTTAAGTTCGTTACTTTCGATTAAGAGCGGTTCCTTTACATCTAACCCAATGTTACTAAGTGAAGTATTTATATACCTTATCCGATTATGTCGCCGTATGGTCATCAAATTTCTTTGGGTCCCTAGCCATATAGGAATCCAGGGAAATGAGATAGTTGATCATCTTGCCAAGAATGCGTTAGCATATCTTGGGGTCACAAACGTTTCTATTGAACTTGGTGACCTCTATGGCCAAGTTTATCAATTCATTTTAGATTCATGGCAGCGTAGATGGAATTCCGTGCAACATTCCAATATCTACAAAAAAATTGTTCTTGTTGTTTCTTCTCACATCAAGTATGAATTTACGAACAGACATCAAGAAGTTATTATTACACGCCTCCGGTTTAATTGCAAAGGTCTAAATGGACATCTGTACCAAATAAAAGTACACCCAAATGGTGAATGCAGCCATTGTTCAAATTTTGAAGACCCAGAACACGCTTTAATGGAATGTACATATTACCAAAGAGATCGAGCAGCCATAAAACAACAGATGGGTAACATAAAAGTCCCTTTTACCTACCTCTCTCTATTAACTACGAATTGTCTCTATCCCGAAATATATAACTTCGTTATAACAAATAACATTAAAATTTAATGTCCTTTTCTTTTTACTAATAGGGCTACTTTATTTATCTTTGTCTCCGACGGCTGGAGTCGCTCCCAGTCGAGAAGAATTAACTATGTAAACTTTTTCCATATTGTTGCGTCAGCGTGGTCACGTGACTAGTGTCACGCCACGTTTCTAGAAGTATCTTGTTCCTACGTGAATGCCCTAGCATTTACTAGATATAGGGTAGTCTGGTATATATAAGATGGTCACGGCGTGACGTGAGAATATGTGTGTAGACAGTGAGTAATTGATCTGCAGTCAGAGAGTATTGTTGAAGTTGAGCACGTTCGTTGTTATAGCGTTTGTTTTAGCGTGATTGTTGAAATTAAGTGTATCGTAAAGTTATATTCGGAAAGAATAAACCAGTTTCATTAAGTAAGGACTTGCGTCGCTAAAGTTTCGTCGGAACGAATTTGCGGGAAATCAATTAACAAACGGAGACGTAACAATATGTTTTCTTCCAGTAACATGACATTGTAGGATTTTTAGTGTAACACAATTAACTACAACAACAAAAAAAAAGTATAAAAATAATTGTGTATATGTAACTACTAGCTTCTCCTTCATGCTAAATGGCAGTGATGAAGGTATCTAGTTCAACTAAATCGGATCAGGGAATTTGGGGGCATATCATCTGCTGATGGCGCCCCCATAACTCGCAAGTAAAAAAAAAGTAAACCCTCGATATTTCAGGAAGGGACGTGAACGTTTGAGAAGCTTGTGGCGTGATACTAGCGTCACGTGACCCCCGATGTCGTAACAGATGCTTTGCGGGTTTTACGGCATAATCAGGTTTCATTCGCCCGGGCCCCTGGGCAGTTGCCCCCTTTATCTCCCCTGTTGGCGGGCCTGTACTGTAATAATATGTTATATTATAAATAACTTGTGTGAAAGTTGGGATTTTTGTGTTATTTATCATAGCATCCACCCCACATTTCTTTCAGTTGATAACCCTGACATAAGACAAGTTCCTCAGTTTGTTGATATATAGAACATCACATCCGTAGACAGTTTGTTTGTTTTTTGTTTTTAATTATGCACAAAGCTACACAAGGGATATCTGTGCTCTGCCCACCACGGGTATTGAAACCCTGTTTCTAGCGTTGTAAGTCCGCAGACATTCCGCTATGCCACTGGGGGGCCCGTAGACAGTGACTTCAACCTTGGAAGTATTAGTAACATCATGATTACTCAACTCTACTGGGTAATAGATATGAGAAATTACCGGCTATTTCCCTAGGCCAAGTCTGCAAATATCTACTGGGAAGTAACCATGCAGACATCCTCTAATAACCACTGTCACTCCGTATGTTTAGCTCTAAAATGTAAAAAACAAAACAATAACAACAAAAACAGTACATTTGGTCTAAACTTGAGGTATTGTGACAAATGGGAAATATTTCGACCTAAAATTAATCATAAAAAAACTCTTCAATTTAAGTTTAAGTACTGTATATTACACAGGTGCAGGCAGTTAAATATCGCGGAAAATGTGGTGTCTGACAGTATGGACACCTGTTGCTAAGCTAATGTTAAGAAGCGTACGCATATTCACTCCCGGGGTAGTGTGGAATTACATAACCTGTCATAAGGGCGAAAGGGCTGAAGGAGTAAAAGGCTTTTACTAAGTTCACGGAGATACATAGAATTAGAAATAAGAAGAAATGACAGAAAAGTTGATTACACGGAAATCTATTAATCAAAATATAACCAAACTTGATTTCCCCTGGCCGTCCCCAATTTTGACTCGGTCATATGAAATTCTGCGTGAAATTGAACAGGTATTTCATACCCCTTTTATGAGTTAATGTTAATTATAAAGCATTTCTCTTATATATATATTTATTCAAGGAAAATGTATTTTTTTAAGTTTACTGTTATTAATCTAAAATATCATAAGCCACATAGTATAGTATTGTAAAACGTTTATTTTATTCTTAAGCTGTAGTCGGTTGGTATTACCGTATAATGGAAACTTTCATAATTTCAAATTTAACGTTAGCATACGTATGTTAATGCCATAATGAAGCATAAGACTAGCAGTAATACTAATAAGTATGTAGGAAACTTTACCGTGCATTTACGGTTAGTTTACCCGATTGCAGAGGTACAGCGGATAAGGCTTCGCTACTCAAATCACCCTGTTCCTAGTCACTTTTAATTTAGATTGGGTTATACTGCCAGACCTGGAATTATGTAATGACAGTAAAATACATTCACTTTTATGTTGAGTCTAAACTTTAGTTGGTATAAAAAACTATATTATAACACTTGATCAAATACCAATTATTCTCTCTGTATCTTGTTTTAATTATTTCTCTCGTGTATATTATGCGTTTCATTATTATTTATCATAGGTAAAGAAGTTTCACAGATCAGTTTTATTGGTGCAGTAAGTGTATTAAAGGTTCATAAAATATTGATTTTTTTAGAAACTAAAAAAGAAGTTAAAAGTTGAGAAATAACACTAACAGGACAATGAGACAGAGGTATTAATTTAGAAAGACTTTTGTTTCTTGCTAGATTCATTAAGTAAGGAAAGCATAAAATACAGGTTCAGTTTTAGAAAACAGAAATTAAAGTGCAAGATAAAAATAAGCATACAAAATTACCATATTATAGACCTGAACATACTGAAACTGAAAGTAAAAATAAGCTACCATAACATATGCCATATCTATAACAAATATTTTGGAAAGTGGAAATGAGAATAAGTAAAATAAATTGATTAGATTCAGTTTCTAAAACAGAGCATTTTTTTTGGAAATCAAATGCAATTAAGAAAATAAGATCAAACAAAGTGACTAAAGATCAATCACCCATCAAGATAGTCTGCTTCTGACCAATTAAGCAAGATCACTAACCAAGCTAGGCTAAATGCAAATATTCACATATATGTATCTATCAAACTGATGTTAAGGTCAGCAGTTGAGGTGACATGTATGTTTACATGGTTACTAGAAAGAGACATGTTAGTCAGTATATTGTCTGTTCATGATCATGTTAGTACATTTAACATGCATCAGGAAGCATTATGTTATTTTTAGTTTCCTAGCAAGTATTCAATGTATGCTAAATGTAAGTTCCTTGTATTTTGAGTTGTAACTGCTGCTGCTGTAACCAGTATATTGAATAAGTTGATGTTTAATGACAGTATTGATGTAAATATAGTGTGGATGAGAATAATCTGTGCACGTTTCAGACATTCACAACTTTGAAGTAGAAAACATTACATCTTTCGTAGAGAAAAATAATACAGAACCAGAGGCAGAACTAGTGTGGGGCAGACGGAGCAATGCTATTGGACCAGAGATTCCTGGGACTAGATCTGGCCTTATCTTCTGAAAAAGGGGCCCCAATCATTTCTTTCTCCCAGGCCTCTGAACTTCTCATTCTACCACTGTACAGAACATAATGTTTAAGGACAACAATGTGCCTGTGGTCCATTTAGGCTGCCCCAACCACTGAATTAAACTGTTTAAATGAACACTCAAAGCTTGTCTGTATCTGAATATTTATCAAGCCTTCCCTTTGAATTTTTTTTAAATTCATTGCATCAACTACATCTGAAGGGAACTTATTCCAAAGGCCAACCACTATGTTAGAAAAGTAAAACTGTCTTAGTTGAAAATGACTTCTATTCTTCCAAAATGTATATTTATGTTCCATATTCATACTGTTCTCACCATTAACTATGAAAACAAAAATTATGCATAAGTATTATCAATTCTCATAATAATCTCAAACACCATGGTCAAAACCCCTCTAATCAGTGTCCAAATTGAAGGTGAAAAGAAAGGAATACTGTTCCTCTTGTTAACAGAAAGGAAAAATTGAAACTTAGACTGTAAAGTGCCTGATTGTGAGAACATGCATCTCTGAGTGAGTTTCAGGAACTTTTATTGTTAACTTTTTACAACTTGAGTGCTGTCACTATTCTTTTTTTTTTAAGATAAACAATTTCAGAGATCTTAAATTGTTCTCATATGACATCCCACATATCATCATAATAGCCTTTGTTTGAATCCTTTTCAACAATTCAGTATATTTTTCAAGGTAAGAATCCCAAGACTGAATACAGTATTCCAAATGAGGTCTACAGTGAAATAATAAAGTCTTTAGACTTGTGTCAGGCACATCAGAGCATACACAAATGAATAAAAATTGTTTAACAATCAATAAAAGTACTTTAAAATATTATTAAACAATTTTGCACTGTAACAAGTATTGTATATACAAAAACATACAAGATAAAAATTTGTTTGTTGTGTACTACAAAATCAAAAGTCATACAAATAAAAATATTTCAGATAATAACCAATATACATATTATATGGATACACTAAAAAGTTACAGCATAATGTTTAGAATTTGCCAAAGAATTGTAGTCTCCTTTCAGCTGGCAAAGTGAGATGACTGTAAAGAAAAAAAAGACTGAATAAAAAAAATTATTGTTAGCAAAATATTGGGAAGGAGTTCCAATAATATTTGGCTGGGTCCTCCCAATTTAATTATTGAGCAGTTGTATGCCCTGCTTCAATGTCTGTTGCATTCGCTATTTCTGTAAATACAACCTAAAACCCTCTTTGCTTTACTACTAGCAACCACACACTGCTTAGATGGCTTAAGACAATGTTCAGTTAAAACACCAACATTGTTTTCTTCCATAATACTGTAAAGGTTATTTCTATCAAAAAGTATGATTATAATGTAAATTATGATAACCCACATGTATATATTATAATTAAAAGCCATCTTACATTTAATTGCCCAACTCAACAAATAATGTAAATCCTTTTTTAAAACAACAGTATTCTTCTTCATCTGTGTCATTGATGTGTATCATAATAGTGAGTCATAAAGTATCCCACTTGTGACATTATTCCAGTTTGACATAATTCCATTTAAAACAACCATCTGCTTTCGTCCATCCAGCTATTTTTGTGACTAAATAAGCCAACTTATCCTTCAAACCTGTAGGGATAATCTTTTCTAATAAGCCTTTTCAAAGGCTTTTTGAAAATCCAGATATATCAAAGCCACACCTTTACCCTCATGTACACAAATATTAACCTTTTCAAGGAGTGGATAAAGGTTAATAAAGTAAGATTTTCCCATAATTAAACCATATAGATTATTCAACAAAATGTTAAACTTTGTTAAGTGAATTTGGAAATTTATCATCAAATTTTCAAAACCTTTTTTTTTTACACCACTGATGTAAAACTAATAGGTGTATAATAAACTGAACAGTTTCCTTAGTAGAGTATCTGGTCTGCTTGGGTATCTTTCTCATTTTGAATGTGGGGTTTGCTCAGCCATCACTCTTGCATCTTCATGCTATGGATATTCTGGTTTCTAAGGCTGTTTGGTCTCTTACTCTACCTGCAAGAGAGGTTCTCTTTCTTTTTTGGAATTCCTGCTTCCCTCAAGGCCATTTTCCTTTTCAAGTATTTCCATATATTTCTCCTTCATTGGACCCTTGGCAATCAATGGAACATGTCCTGAGAATGCATATCAGCCCTTGTGATTCTTCCTTCATCTCTTTGTGTTTTAGTGGCTTGATTGCTCCAACATGATTTTAGCCATTTTTCTTCTCCTTCTCAACCCAATTTGGATCTGTACACAGATACTTCTCTTTCTGGATTAGGGAGAAGGTAGTTTTCTACACCACCATTTCAGGAGTTTGATCTTCAGAGGAATAGTCCCTTCATATCAATGTCCTAGAAGCATTGATTGTTATTGGGTTTTCCAACATATTTGATCCCCTTTAAAAAAAACTTTTTTGGGAGCACATGTGTAATGTTCAATCTTAAAAACTCGCAATTTTTAAAAAATAACGATTATTTTATACACAATTCTATAAAAATGAGATTGTTTCTAGTCTCCAAATTACTAAAATACAATAACTTACTGTACAGGATAAGAAGTGGTAAAAAAAAGTGATGAAACTGGAAAACAATCTCATACACTCTACATGTTTCAAATAATTTTGCATCCTCCTCAGGGGTGTAATGTTTTTCAAAAAATAACAGTTATTTATACAATTATCAAAACATTTATCTCTCTCTCTCTCTCATTTGCTGACAAAAGTAAGAAAGAATGTTTAGTACCTGGTTTATCTTGTCAAATAATGAAAAAATTAAAAAACAAATAAATATTTCTCTGATATACAAACTGATAAACAAAGTCAGTGAAATCTTTAATACAACTAAAGATAAAATTGATTTAATGGAAAAATTTAGCATATATAAAATATTATGTGAATGTAAAAAAGTTTATATAGGACAAACTAGAAGAAATTTAAAATTCAGACTGATTGAACATAAAAGAAATGTTAAAAATAATAATATTGCTATTTCACCTTTAGCAGAACATGTTAGTGAAACTAATCACACAATTCAGTGGGAAGAAATTTTTATTTTAGCACAACCTGGAAATTTAATTGGTATGAATATACGTGAATCTATTGAGATAATTAAATGTCATCAAAACATCCATTTCATGTATTCTTCTTTGGATGAAGATGCCCATATACTTTATTGCATCCCATCCCATCAGGTTCATCTCATGGCTTCTCTCTCCTTTTATTGACCTCATCCTCTGGATGAGATCCTGCTGGCTGGAAAGTGGATGACACCTAACACATTTGTATCACATTATTTACATCACATAGTAGTTCCTTGTGCTTCTGGCTTTTGTCTCCCTCAGGTCTACAGTCTACCCAGAGGCTATCATAAGGTGAGTATTGTTATTTGTTCTTTACTTTCTCTCCTGCTCA